GCAAGTTGTCCCTTAAAAAGTTCTTGAAAATGAAGGCAATGTGAGAAATAAAAATTAAATATTAAATTTTATTAAATAACAAACAAAGTACGCACAATGCATATATAAAATTCTCCCCCTATAAGTCCACATTTCCGTATCTTAGAAATCTATTTACGATTTATCGACAAACTGTTCCTGTTTCCAAACACTGTATCTTTCAATCGAACAACGCTCGGGGCTGAGCCGTACACACTCGTATAGGGCCAAAACCCGACCTACGTCTACAAATGTATGTACATATATACCCGTACATACATACATACGTTCACTGCCTTTGCATAACTTACCAGTCTGTTATGCTTAGTTTACGTAACGAGCTTACGTTGTGCCCCACATTTGTCGCTCATCCATTCATGATTCTAGAGCGATTTGATCGCACTTCGAGTGTGCGGCCGATGCCACCCATTTAGGCCCGCATCGCTCAACGGCAAACCCACACACACACACATACACACAAATGCACATTTGTATGCGTCGAACGTAGATGTAACTGTCAGTGTATTTTAGTTACCCACATGCATGAGTTTTCTTCCACTCTACTCTCTTCGCCGACTTCCGTATTTCAGGTCAATCGTGTGTGTTGTCGTTGTCGTTTTCATTGTCTCTCTATTTGTGTTTGTCTATTGATCGTTGTCGATGTTTTTGGGTTTTGATTACGCGGCCTTGAAAGTGAAAAGGTCCAACCAGTTGGACACTTTCGCTTTTTCTGCCACAGATACCAAACGCATATACCTGTATACATGTGTGGTATGAATAAATATGTTAGCATGTTTCTATGTATATTATGATTGTGTGTGTGTCTGTGTTTACTAGCCTACAAAGTCATTTTGTTTATTTGTCTCGATTAGTTCGGTTTGGTAGATTTGGGCGCGTTTGTATTTATGTCTGTGCCTGTGCCTGTTTGGCTCTTAGTCGTTGGCAGCTGAGTGCTGACAGCTCAGCTTTCAGCTTTTGGCCTGTTTTAAATTGCAAATGAATTAAAAGGGGCAATTAAGCGGCAATCACAGCGCGCCAATTCTGACACTTCTTGGGGCTTGAGGGAGACTGCCACATTCGAAGCTATCAAAATCAAATGTCAGCGATCGTCGGCAAAGTTGTCGCCTACGTGCCACAAGCCGCTCGCCCACACCAACGGCATGTTGCTGTAGTTTCTGTTGTTGTTGTTATTGTTGTTGTCGGTATTTACATAAAATCGGCAAAAGCACAAATTAATTGTCTGAGGCAAGCGCTTAAGAAAAACAAAATATAAATAAAACCAGCACAGTCTCATTTCATAAGCAGTTGCACTTGTACAGCATTTGAGCAATTAAATAACAAGCCAGTAAGTGGGGGACCAGGGGGCATTGACAGAGATGGGAATATACATACATACATATGTATACGGGGTTGGGGATGGGGGCACTAAACGTTGCAACTTATGTATTAACTTAAAACTACTCGCTGTCTAACCCATTATATAAGATCGTGCGCAAGCGCTCGGCATACTTTTAATTACACGCATTTGTTCAGTTAAGCACACTCACACACACATAAACACATTTACGAGTATGTGTGTATTATGTATGCATAAAAATATTACATCGCTTAGTGGTAATTTAGAGTTTAGTTACAGCTTCAAATGGTTCGTTTTTAGGTTTCGCCAAATGCGTCTTAAGCATTACGTTTAGCCCCAAAAGCTAAGCAAACACATTTTCCTACGGCAGTTCCGTTAACGGCACTTAATTATGCAGGCAACAGGCTCACACACACTCTTACATACACACATAGATACTACAAACTGAATAGTCCAATACAATGACAACTGTTATGTGCGCCAAAAGCAAAACCGACTAAACAAAAGCCAAAAACTATAACTGACAAGTTCAAACAAGGCGACAAAAGGCAGAGTGACCGAAAAAGCGAGCGCGTCAAATGATTTTCGCGTAATCATAAAATGGAAATAACAACAACAACAAGAAGAGTTAAATGGAAACAAAAATATAAACTTGTCGCCATCTCCATCGTCATCGTCATCGTCATCGCCATCGTCTTTAGCTGTGCCAGTTACATACATATACCCGTACTATGTATGTATGTATGTATATGTATGTGCATGTGGTCTACATTTGGAGATGCCCAACCAGTTATAAACCGGAACTGGCGCACATAACGGTACACTCAGCTCAGCTCAGCTCAGCTCAGCTCAGCTGTGCCAAGGTGCGAGAGCGAGAGCGAAAGCGGCCAACCCAAACAACTCTCACTATCAACACGCATTTCTCGCTCTTGCATTATTCATCTCGTTTACGTTTTCGCTCAGGCTCCCCGGCTGTTTTCAAAGTCTTCCTCTTGACCTTGGACTCAAGACTTGGCATGTCGCTATAGTTGCTATTGTTTTTGTTGTTGTTATTGTCATCGTCGAGCCAGCCACCGGTTCGCTTCGTTCAAGCGAAAGCAGCGCCAAAAGCGTGTGCCACAAAAGAAAGCCAAACCACTTTTACTTTCAAGCTCAGCCGGCAGTCTCAGCCGCCGTTTCAGGCACAATCCCCAATCTCTCACGCTTGCCTAACCCGATCCAATGAGGCAATGGCAATGCCGGCAGAGCCAACTGCCAACTGCAGCAACGGTGGCAGCGACCGCATTTTGTGGCATGGTATGGGTTTGGGTTTGATTTTGATTTTGACTTTGGCGCCAAAACATGATGCAGCACAATAAATAGATAGTCAAGAAATTTCGCATAATTTATTCGAAAGAAATCTAAATACAAACTACATACATACATACGTACTATTGTATGTATGTATGTACGAGTATGTACATATGTCGAGCACATGACTTACGTCAACGCAAAGGCGACCGCACATTTTATTCTAATTACGATGAATTTTAATTCACTTATTGTTTTCATTTCGCATCTCCCTGCTTTACAATTTTTTTTGGCAGCTTTGCACCTCTGTTCTGGGCCCTGCACAATGAATGCCAAAACTAAATCAAAAACCAAAGAGAATTCAAATGCAACTGCGAACGAAAGTCGCAACGATGCCCAAAATCAAGAGACGTGAACAGGCATATCTGAAACAACAACAACAGCAACAGAAAACAGCAAAGGTTCTTGGTCGCGAAACCAATGGCAGAACCTTTTCTTTTGGTGCTATTTTAAGGCAAAGCATGGCTAGATGCGCGCAAAGGAAGTGCAAAGATAGCAAATTCTTTGTAGGGTACCGGGGGAAGGAAAACCCATATGCTTAAGTAGAACTACTATGTATTTAGAACTGTGTACGTATGTAAATGCTTTTTAAACACGCCAGCTTGCAATCAACATAACAAAACATAAAAAACAAGTTTAAAAAACATTCGCATTATATTGTTTGAGAACTAACCATGAGCATTTTTAGATTGCCTGAAATTTGTTTTAAAAGTTATGTTTTAATATTTATATTTCATATCCAGGCCTGATTCGGAATACCACCAATTTCTCGAATTGATTTTCAGTGAATATCTGGGAGTCCCATGAATACCCTCTTGTTTGAAGCAACTTTGTGGCGATGGCTAAGTCAATAGTCAGAGCACATTGAGAATATGAGCAGAATATAGTATAATGTGTTTAACAACAAAATTGTTGCCAAAACATGAGTAGCAATTATTTTGATTGTGCGCCGTGTGATCAGCTTTTATGAACACAATTATTGCTCACATTGATTCTTTTGTTTATACTTGATACAGAATTGTTATAAATGGAATGAAAATTTGAAAAAGTATACGAGCTAGAATAACCAAACATTGCATCCAAGTTCTCCTAATTCTGTAACAAGTTTTTTGAATTAATTCACACCCCAACCGACTAACCTTTTTAGGGATTGTCCATAGCTCTCGTAGTTCTTGTAATTATTTGGCAAAACATGCTGTTAGCCATAAATATAATTTCTGACCATGCTCTGCCGTGCAATTGTTGTTGTTGTTCTAGTTCTCGTTCAAATCTGCATTGCACACAAAATCATAGACACAAATCCGATGTTATTGAAAAATATTATCAATTCATGTGAATACGTAATTAAATGAATTAGAAACTTAATTTTGGTAAAGGGGCACGCACAGCCCATCATTCCATTCTTTGCAGTTAAAAACAAAAACAAATTGGCATTTGCTAGCTCTTTTTAATTAACTCAAGTCTCAGACTCTTAATTACAAACACGCGAATAATATATTTACATTTCGAATGGTGCAAGTATTATCCAATGTTTTGCTCTGACTTTGACCAAACTGCGAAATTGAACAAACAATTTTGGTAACGGAAATTAAATAATTTGATCGCCGGCGATGACTGTTTAGTAGTAGTGAGAGAAATAGTCGAAGTGGATGTCATTCTAGAAGTCTTTTAAAAGTGTCACAGAACAGTATTTTTATACCCTGTAAAAGAGTATATTAGTTTTTCTTAAAAACGTTCAGTACTTTATCAATATAACAATCAACGTGATGAAGAAAAACTTTTAGTCGGAGTAACTTGTAAAATTTCAAACATCAATGATGTGTCGAAAAAAAACATATTTTTGATCTTAAATTTCAATATGTAGGGCAGAAGCGAAAGGAGATTTCAACGCTGAACACAAAAGTCCGGCATGTATCGAAAATGAAGTTTTGAAAAAGTCATTCAAACCGCATTCATTCCCGCTATTCAGATGAACTACTTGTATCATGTCCTGGTGCTGTTTTTGGAAAATAGTAAATTATTGCTTTTTGCTTAATTCTAAGAGTTACAAAACCTACTATCCGGGACACAAATTCAGAAAATCAGAGTTACCCGATCAGAGACTAGCAAATGTTTCCAGAAATTTACTGCGGCCATTCGATTCGCCCGCTTTTGATGCCATTGATGAAGTTTAGTTCCTTTCATTTAAAAGAAAATGAAAGTATCTGCGTACAGTCGAACTGGATATGACAACAAAGTGTTTTCTTGGCACTCGACGAAAATTATGCTGCAATGCTTGCTGTAAATACTTCTTTATTTATTATATAACCACGTACCAATTTAGATATAAATTATGAATCGAAATGGAACGGCATACTTAATTTAAGAAATTCCAAATGGAAGGAAATGGATATTGTTGAATGAAGCATGCACACTCTGTTTTCGAACTCCATCGCTTTTACCTTAAATATAAATACGGAATGTTTGGCGTGAACTCATCTTCTTGTTGCACATTGGACACTTGTGAGTTAGCCGCAGCACCGATTGTATGCATGTGTTGCAGAAAACGTGCCCACACTTTGTAGATACGGGCTCGCGTTGCCTGACGGACTCCCAGCATACCGGACACTTGTAGGAGTCCTCCTTAAAAGCGGAGCGATGCCGCTTTGATGACGTAGCAGTAGGCGTCCCACTTTTATTGCAGGACCTACTAGCTTCACCTACAATGCGGAGTGTCTGCTGTGTGACTGAGTCTCCAAATGTGTGCATTTTCCGACTACGGCGGTTAGTAGTTAATGAATTTTCCGCTGTAGCATGCCAATCAGGTATACTCGTATGCAGGTCTGCCACGTGGGCTGCATCAATATCTCTTCCTGAAGAAGGATCCTTGCCAACGTCATTATTGTCGCTGATACTGATACCCCTACTAGTACCTAGTGCCGGCATTCTGGCTGGACTTAAGCCTATGCTCGATAAATTCCTATCTATATTTTTACAGCAAAGATGTATTAGTTCAATCTCTGCATCTATGCGCGAGTCATCAAAAATCATGGGGGCAGGCGAAGAACTGATCGATGCCGTGTTCATCGTCGATGACGAGATATCGCCGAAATCGTAACTGATTTTAGGCATCTCTGCGACCGCCACTGAGGCTTCAAAGCCTCTCATATTAACAGCCATAAGGGCTGATAAGTCGAAAGAGGTATTTATAGACTGAATTAGCCGGTCAGCTTCTTTTAACAATTGGGCGATCTGCGTTTCTGTTGCGTCAGATTCAGGTCTTGGCGATTCCAATGGCCTCGGCATTATAAGTAGATGACAATTACCAAAATTTATTAGGTCCGATAATATACACAAAATTTGAAACTGACACAATACTCGACAAAATCCAAGAAAGTGCTTGAATTTGAAATATAGATTTTCTTGTAACATCTAAAATGGCTAATACTAGAAAATATTCATATTTTAATAAATTCAAAGAAAAGGTAATTAAAGTTTAATAAAGTTTTTGATATCATTTATCTTCCGCTTGTGTTACCCATTAGAATCTGCCCGTTCACTCATAAAATGTTAAAACACTTTATATGTAATAAAGTAGAAAAGTTCTTATAGCCTATACTCTTTCTTGTTAACGTAGTATAATGGAAACACAATTTATGATTTATTATTAGGTTTAGAGCCATATAATTTCATACTAATCGCATAAGAAACCAAATGTATCTGTGATGCTTAAAAATTGATCGTTTATTGATACAATAATAGAGCTCAAATTAAAAACTCCCTTTTTTATGGAAGGACGCATAATATGTTCCCATGTTATTAGTATACACATATGTATATGATTAGCATGACAAGACATGTCTTACTACTTTTGTTCTGAGTAAATTATATAAAATATATATGTATATGGGGTGTATGTGAGCTGAATCAGTAAAGCGGGCTTACTTCAAGAGCCGGACACAACTCTGCCCTCAGCATGAATTTTGGGTACGCTGATCCGTTCCTGTTCAGAAAGTTTTGGGATGAAATCTGAGGTTACATTGAGTAGATTTGCATTTAGACATTTTCCTTATGGTTATATAGAGGAGAAGATGAAGAAAGATATACTTCCAGTGGCCCTGTTGTAATTTCTATTGCTATATAAAATACAGACATACCCGGCAGATATTAAGAGTCGCTTGTAGTTGGGAATAGAAGTAATCTATTGCGTATTGATGTAATGATGATCATGAAAACTGCCAAGTGCTGACCCAATTTTTTGGAGAGCAGGCCCTCTAGCCATGCACTTCAAGTGTTCGGTCTTTTGATGCAGAGGCATAAAAATTGCTAGCAATATGCCAAATAAAATTTTGTTGGCTGTCTGTGAAATGCCTCAACCAAAGAACTATAGACACCTCCCCACGGTTCATATACATACATACATACAACAAATTTTTAGCTTGATTGCCGTCTATTTTACAGCTGCCTCTGCCCCTCGCCGCTGCTGCTGCTGCTGCATGACCCACTTTTCCAAAAGTCAAGCGAATAGAACTCAACTATATTTTTGGCTTTTGTTGTTCTTGGTGATGGTGGTGGTGGTGGTGCTGATGTTGCCGGCAGACATTTCTCCTGCCATGTGCCCAATAATTAAAAGTAAATAATTCTGTTCTGGAACTGCAGCAAACGCAAACGCAGCCACAGCCCCAAGCCCCCAAACAGCACCCCCTTGCCCAACGATCACTGAACAGCAAACATTAAACTCAACAATGCCGCCAAGCAAACAAAAATGCTCCACAAAAAGAAAACTGAAGCAAGAAGAACTATATCTTCGACTTCCCCGAAGCTAAAATACCCTTAACAGTTTCAGTGATCGCATCCTCTCAAACCATGACCTGCTATGAGGAACATTGGGACCTGGACTGTGATTAAAATAAAAATAAGTAGTAGTCTAAGTACGACGGATTCTTTTTCGGAAATCGTTGTTTCATTTCGAATAAAACGAACTAAATTGAAATTAAATGTCAAAAAAACTTTTAAGAATTGATTCAAAAACAATTTAATTAGATGAAAATATTCCGCATCGTTGAATCGCAGATTTTCCTTCAATTGCTTCAACATTTCAGAACTAAGGCCATTTGCACATCAAATTAATATCAACTTTATTGTCATGTACACATAATTCTGTTTTTACACGGTATTTTTTACAATGAAAAATGCTATATATGCTATATATGGTTACACGACTTTATTCCATTTAGCAGGATTCATTTTCCACATGATCAATGTATTTTTTTAGACGGTTTTTTTTTTTAGGAACCAATCTATCGTGTAAATACAGAATTAGGTGTAGTTCCTTAGTGATCTCACTAAAGACCGTGATAACGATTCCAAGACTGATTACAGCTGATGCCAGCTATGATCTCAACGAGTAGACCTGTAATATGTAGTTTTGGTCCTTCCTTTATATGTGTATGAATGCAGAATACTTTTAAGTAAAGGGTATCAGAACAAAAGCAGAAGTAGCAACGAAAGAAAGAAAAAATTAACAACAATTTCAATTTTGCTGCTGTTTTCTTAAAGGGATCGTTTTTTATTCCGTAGGCTAGGGCATCAAGTGCGACACGCTCGTATTTAGCTTTGTTTGCTTGTATGTGTTTCAGAAATTGGGTCAATTTTTGTGCGTACGCCAGCGGCTTGCAACAAGTGTCTGAGAGGGGAGGCAGTCCCCCTCGTTCCATCGCAGGTCTTGCCCTAAGATAAGTCGACTTCGATGTTGCCTGTCGTGCGCAGATTGATAAAGAACAGGGAAGACGGGTGGTGCTGGCGGTGGCGGTGATGGTGATGGTGGTGGTGGTATTGGTGTTGGTGTTGGTGTCGGGCAGTGCTGGACTGTGCAGTCGTCTTTCAACGCCGACGCCGACGCCAACGACGAATCGCAACGCAGAGGCAGCGTCTGCGGCAGCTGAAAATAGAAGCGGGCGCGCGACTTTATGGAACTTTTAAAGGGCGTGCATTGTACATTTTGACTGCGCCCAACAACAGCAACAACAACAACAGCAATAAAAGCAACACTCACGCATAGTTGTTGATTAGTTGCGCGCGCACACATACACACAAGCACACACATGCACACACACACACACATATGGGGAATGTGTGGTGTCTGCTTGTGTCTGCGTGTTCGTGTTGAGATTATTTTCTGGCATTTTTTATTGTGTTTCTTCTATATGTTATTTGTTTGTTGTTGTTCTTGTTTGTAAGAAAAGTAGGCCAATGGGTCTTTGGGTGAGTGGTTTAGTTTTAGTTTCTGTTTTCTTCTTCATGTGCATAAACATATGTGTGTATATGTTTGTTTGCTTCTGTGTGCGTGTGTGTGTGTTCTTCGTAATATTTTGGACAGCGGATAACCCCTATTCGCGGGCCTGGGGAACAGTATAATTTTTGTAGATGCCCAGATCTATCGAGTTGGAAAAAATGTTTTTGTGATTTTTAAAAGATTGCAATAAAGATAAAAAGACCATGTTTTTAAATATTTTACTTAAATTTAGAGAAATTGTTTAACAATTATTTCAGCGATTTTTAGCAGCTAACTATACTATAAACCACCAACGAATAAAATAATAATAAAATAGTAGGTCAGACAGAAAGCACTTGTTATCTATCAGAAGGATCGTCTAAATTCTAGAACAATTGGTCCGATGCATGGACCTTGTATATTGGCGCTATTGCCCCAAAATGGTGGTGACATAGCTCAACGACTATTCGTAAGCCTAGAAAGATGACCCAAAAAGTGAAAAGAATTCACCCATTTATAACCTAATACTTTCTTTATACTTAACAACTACTATTATTACTAAGAAGAAATCTAACAAACACTGTTAATGTAATGTTAATGTAGAACTGAATTTACATTGGATTTCTAGAATGTTCTGAACCTTATTTTGCTTAAGGTTTTCGAAACCGTCCGCAGCAGTACTATTATGTGGTGGATTGTTCACACTGCTCAGCCATTTGATGCAATTTGATGTCCTTATATCAGAACAAGTCTGATTTCGGCAACAGTAGATTCTGTTAAAGTTATAATTTCCGAACCAACACTCTCTACAAATATAGTATACTCGTAGTCGTGTGCGCATGTGAATGTGTAGCGACCTGATATGCCTTTTTAGCTGCTTTTAATTGTGTGCAGTTGTTGTTGCTGCTGCTTTTAGTTACCATACTTAATCTGGTGAATTGGTAGTGTTATTGTTAGTGCTGTTGTTGTTTCTATTGCTGATGTACACGGATTTATGTATGTTGGTATTAAACATTGTGATGCCTGAGTGAGCCGATCGAGTATTGAAGGGATTGCCTCGGATGCCAAAAGTTGCGTAAGTCGGTGGGCTGTGGATCAGTTTTTTAGTCAGTGGGGCAGTTGGTCAGTCAGTTAGTGAGGCAGTTGTCTGATTTGTTTGTTCGAAATGTGTCGCCATGTTGCAGTGACGCTTGATTTATAACGGGAAAACAGTTTAAATGCAACAATAACAGCAAGCGAACGCTAAACAATTTTGTAGGCCACGTTAATAAGCGCAACATAACGAACATAATATCTTAACTTGGTCATCAGTGGCAGTCAAAAGAAAAGGCATCTTTAAAGACAACAACAATAAAGTGGCGATTACATAACACCCATACAGTCTCACACACACGCACACACACTCTTACCCATAGACATAAACATGAACGTAGCTTCGTACGGAGACGGCGCCGAGAGGTTTCAAAAAGAAAAGCATTTGTGGAAAAAGAGGTGAATAGAGCGCGCGCGAACGTCTTGGGCTATTGTTGTTGTTATTGCTGTTATTGTTGCTATTGTTGTTGGATGCTTAGCGGCCCCATTGTTGTTGTTGCTGTTGTTGTTATTTTTGTCTACCAGATACCAAAAGTCAGCGGCATAGAAAGTGAAACTGCGGTTGAGGAAAAAAAATAACGACTACTGAGAGAAGAAAAAAATAACGCCACAGCAGTTGGCCACACGATCCGTTGCCAAGCCGACTGACTGCTCGCAGCTTGGTTTTAAATATAAACCAAACAGCAACAACTACAACAACAAACTATTACTCAATCTGTGCTAAAAAAGATAGATAGATAGATGGATGTAAAGTTGGCTGACTGGCTTGTAGGTAGAAAAATGGTAGATAGGCAAGAAAATAAAAATGAAGTAACCCACTTTTTCCGTTATGCTTTTTTGAAGCTGTGTCGAAAGCAACAAAATGAAATACAATAGCAACAACAACAGCAACAACAACAATACCAACTGCAGCAGCAGCAGCAGCAGCGATAAAATGTGTAACAAACAATCTGGAAATTGGTACCGAAGTGTGAAAAATTGATGCATTATGGACAGTCAAGTATGGGGTTTATGGATGCTGAGGCTGAAACCTCAAAGCTTATAGACCTGCATGAGTGCTAAATGGCAATGAATGAGAGCGTAGAGTGAATGATATTCTACCTTTTGACCGCAGACTTATGTAACTATCATTTTAGTGACTAGCTACTTACAATAATCCAGAGACAACAAGATGAGACTCGGCCTGTAACTGATATTCTCATAATAAACATTAGGGCGATAGATAAATTTTTCATTTTAAACCGTGCAAGTTAGTTATAGCTACGCAAATTTAATTTGAACTTTCCGAAATTTTCTAAATGTACTCTAAATGTAACTCATATGTGACCTATAGGATCACTAAGAAATATATATTCCACATCAATAAAGTCGCAAAGAGTTGGCCAGTAATCCTGAAACCGAGTCGAATTTAATTCGTTTGAAAATGGATTAGCAGGATAAGAAATTGGGTTGCATTTCTAGTAGTGGTAAGTATTTGAAGCCTATGTGCTCTCCATAAAATAGTACAAATAATAAGATTATTATTTTTAATTTATCTATATTAAGTCTGATCCCGATTTAGTCCTACTGCATTTGGTCATCAGGCGGGCAAATTAAATTGAATTTGTTCGTATGTCGAGAGTCTTGTGGCTGCTCACAGCAATTAAAAACATTCTTAGGCGCATCGAGGCAGCAACATCAGCATCTGCCGCAGAATGTATGCATCGCTTGCGGCAAATTTATCACTTGGCGCTAATAACTCATCCGCCCTGAGGTACCGAGAGAACGTATAGGCCTGTCGTTGCTTGGCACTTGGCGCTTAGTTTGGCAGTAATTATGCGGCAATTTTTGGCATAAATGTGCGCTTTGGTGCCCGTAATATCTGGCCAATCAGACAGACAAGCAGATAGGCAGGCAGAGAGGCAGGCAGACAGGGAGGCAGACGGACACTCAGACAGACAGACAGATAGACGAGAGTAACTTTCACCGCGCAACTTTAAGCCGCTTAGAATCGCACTGTGCACCCTTATCAAAGTCAAGCGCTCCGAGATGTGTGGCAGGCCACAAGCGGCTTCCGTGGTCGTTGCCGGGGCAGACTCGGACGCCCACTACAATTTCACTTTCCACTACATTCGGCCGCAGCGCAATTGGCTGTCATCAATCAAAGGGCTCACAAATGCAGGCCAGCCCTTTTATGTATTGTTTTTTTTTTCTTTGAACCGAGCTCTGCTGCACTAAGCGCCTCATTTGCAGCTAGACAAATTGGACGCACGCAGCTCCGAAAGAAAGTTGGCGGCCAAATGGGCCACAGCAGCCTCTGCAGTTTAGGCAGCAGCCTCAAGTTTCCCAAATGGCTCAGCCAGAGCACAAGCAGTGTTAAGTGATTATCTGTCCGGGGCCGCATTCGCGTTTACGTCCGGGCCTCACTGCATTTGCCGCCCTTGCCACTCTTCTGTGCCTCTTCCTGTATCGCCTCGCCTAGTCTGTTGCATGCTTTCTCTGCCTCAGCGTGTTAATTTGTCTTTTTTGTAGTTGCATTTATTTCATGTGTTTGTCGTATATAAATTCGCTTTTCATTTTGTTGGTCTTACTGTCAAATAATGTCAGCGCGGCCGCGGCCGCGGCCGCCTTGCAATTGTCTCTGGGGGGCCACACGTGCCGCAGTCGCAGCTTCGGACAGGCCCGTGCTGTCGTGCGAGTGTCGTGAGTGTCGCGCCTGTCGCCCTGCAACTGGCAGCCCATACATCGGCCTGTCTCAGCCCCATTCGGCACAACAACCTCTTTGAGGTTGCCGCCTAAATATGGCGCACATTTCTCTAGAATTTTTGGCAGAGCTTAGCCTCTACCTCTGCCTCTATCTCTGCCTCTACCTCTGTCTCTGCTCTTCGCATGGCCTATTGTCGCACTATAATTTCTACTTGTAGGTAGCATCTGATTGGTTGGCTGCGAACTTTGTTGTTTCAGGCCGGATGGGTCGAGCAATTAAATGATATTATAATATTATCGACCTTATTGAATAGTTCTATTTTCAATTCCGATACAATAATAAAATCTTAGCTATTTGCAATTGTTTTTTAAATTCAAGCTCAGCTCCGTCTCTATTCAATTTATTTATTTATTTACTACAGCTACTATCTTAATGTTTAACGGAGCAATAATTTCTACAGCCCTTTGCTCCTTGTACGAGGATGAACAGGATAATAAGTCTAATATTTAGAATAATATTTAATCAAAAACATAATATAATTGTTAAAGTGAATCTATTTTTGTATGAACATGTTTTGCTCCTTATCTAAATGAACTACAATTTAAGACTTTATTGAAGGATCTATGGGCATCACATAACTAGAAAGGTGGGATGGATGTGATGGATGAGGTTGCTACTCATTGTACTCTGTACCCAGTTTAGTAGATTTCTGCAAAATGTAGGAGATGGCATGGCAGAACCCACAAAGTATATACTTGTAGATTCTTGAACAGCATGACAAGACTAGTTTATATAGACATGTCCGACTTTAGCTTTTTCACTTGTTTTTTTTTCGTTGATGCATTTTCTGAATTTTGTATGTAACACATTCTTTCATCCACTTTATTAGTAGTTCCATTAATCTATATAAGCGATGTAAGTTGAGAATTTCATATAAGTAGTATGTGCAAAATACTTTTGATTTTTATTCAAGTGCAATAATAGTAAAGAGCTAAGTAATTTTTTGTATAAGGATAAAGAAAATGGAGAATATACCAAATTTATTTTATAGTAAGAATTACCACGAAAGGCCATGTCGGCTAGATGCCATATCCGCCAGTTAGCAACTAATAATTGCATGAGCTGCATGACAATAAAAGCGGAAGTAGGGCTTGCTGTCCCTACGTAACGTGTGCAGCAAATAATGGATCACGACATTGAATTAAGGACGTAATTTTTAGAGATGATAAATGTTTTGAAATTTTGAAACTCCATTAATGTTGGAGGGATACTATTACTTGACCAACCCAGACAGACCTGCTACAACACATGCTATGGACTACCTTTAGCTTTCAAGGCATTTCCGAGATGTGCTCTGTAGCGAGCAATATAAGCAATACACAAGTATGTACATAAATAAACTCATAAGTACTATAGAACTGTTGGACAATGTCAAATTTCTGAGAAATGTCATGGTGAATGTTGGACATTCCATGTTGGAAGTTTTTCCGGTCAAGCAACCTACCATCATTGCAGTGGCCGGCGTATAAGCCGAACCTTAATCCCCAAGAGAATGTTTTCTCCTACAATATTACCTTTATCAAAGCAGTATGAGTATAGCACAAATTGGTTCGGCACCATTCAAAACAGCATTTCATTTTTGCCACACAGGTTGCGTATGATAATGGAGCACAATGGAGCACACCAAATAATACAAAGAATTTTTATATGTTTTTAATTTTTAATGGACTTTTAATGTCACTTTTAATTTAGTCAATACTCGTATATGTATATGTAAGTAGTATGTTTTAACTATTTTGTATACAAATACCTATTTTCGTAAGACAAATACTTTGAATTAATCCTGTATCGCACACTTACACGTGCAGATACGATTCTGATGTAAATGATGCTGTTGAAACTGCACATAAACGTATGTTTCCACTGTATGTATGTATTAAATGATTTACTCTAGATATACCGTTTCGCCTGATTAACATCCAAATATTCTACTACACTTAGTACACTACAGGACGAAAACAGAAGGCACATGAAAAGACTGTTACATAAAGAAATATTAAATTTAATTTAAAAGCGAGTGGATTGCAGGAGTTGCTACCTAATATATTTTAAAAATTATGTTTCGTCGCATCCATTATTTAATCAACTGTTCATCAAACTCGAAGTAACATTGTTGTGCTCGAGTGGAGATTCCCCGAAAAGACAAATGTAAACAAATTAAAATACAATCAATGCTGATTGTAAGCATAAAGAGTAGAAAGAATCGAGATCGGATTGGACAATTCTCTGATTCTCGAAACACCACGTTTTTGAAATTTAAATACATAATTTCTACTTAACATTAAAAAAGGATAATTGTCGTCCGCCTGAAACAAATTTTAAATTAGTTTAGCTATTTATTTACGAGCATGTATTTTGATTTTAGCCAGTATGAAAAGCCAGTAAGCACTTGATTTGTTTTAAATTTTATTTATTTCATTAATTTAGATGATTTTACAGTTTTTTTTGTTTTGTTTTCAGTGTATAAATTAAAATGAGAACATTGCGTTGGCCTTACAAATTAATAGCATTCATTTATTTATTATTGTTTTAACTACGTATGCAAACCATTTTTACAATTATCATATCATTTTTTTGCATTCCCATACAATTTGCTAAGTGACATGTTTTTTTTTTGTTATTTTTTTATTGTAGTTTTGTGTGCGTGTAAGCAGCGGCTAATTAATGCTTAATAAAAATTGGTTGTTGCTTATGTCATTGCCATAACAAACTTATAAATAAAATTCGCTAATAGTATATAAAAACGGTTTTGTTGTCTGTTTGGTTGCGGGCAGATAAAGCGGGGCAAAGCGACAAAACACAATACGCAGTTTAGAAAATACTTTATACAATTTTTGAATCACACACACACACGGGACAAGTGTGTGTACGTGTATGTGCTATACTATACATGTAAGAAGTGTTGATGTTGCTGTTGCTGTTGTTCGTGTTATTGTTTTTATTTGATTTGTCTTGCAATGTATTTTATGTTTTCTTTCTTGCTTTCCTCATACACGTACTGTGCGTTCATAAATATCTCGATAGTTTTTTATAATAATTTTACAACATTTTCTTTGGCTTAACTTATGCATGTAGTGAATAGCGTACAATATAGATAGATGTAGATACGGGTATATGCATATATAGTATGTATATGTATGTATGTATGTATGTATATATATTACAACTACTAAAAATTAAGTACAAAAAATGGTAAGAAGTGATAACAAGAAACAGAGAATAAATGTACAAGGATGGGGTGGATGAGGAATGCCTGCGATTCGATGATAGAGCGAGCGACGCGGCCAGAAGAGAAACATGATCTTACGAACTACCCACACAGCATTTGAATCTTTGATACTGAAGACAGCAGCGGGGCCACCCGCTCCCCCATTCCCACTCACACTTATACACATAGCTACTCATGCACACTCACACACACACACACACACACTCATTCTCTCAGACTCACACTCACTCGCACATTCGGAGCGGTGGGTGGCCCCGTTTGGCTACGCCTGGCTATGACAGCGCTCCCGAATCGGCTACAGCGCATGCTCGTTGGTGTTGAGGAAACTGCGGCAGACGCGACTCACTTCGGGATTTGTGTGGTTCATGAGCTGCATGTAGATCTGCTTGTGAAGCTGCAACTCGTTGGTCATCTCCTGAAGTTGACGCAGCAGAGTGTCCTTCTCCTTCAGCAAGGACTTGACTCGCTCCTCAACCTCCCGGGAGCGCACCTTGGCCTTCTCGCGACTCTTGCGCACCGCAATGTTGTTGCGCTCCCTACGCCTCCGGTACTCCTCGGTGCCCTTGTCCACATGCTTGACGCTGTGCTTGCGCTGCTGCTGCTGCAGCTTGCTGTGGTGCTTGAGCAGATTGTGGGCTGCGGATTGGGCCGCCAGATGGGGCAGATTGTGGTGGGCCAGTACATTGGCTGTGGTCAGCTGGGTGAACTGATTGCTGTTGCCATTCGAATTGCCATTGACTTGGCCACCGCCGTTCATAGAGTTGTTGCTGTTGTTGCCGCTGTTGTTGTTGCCGTTCGACATTCCGTTGCTCTGGTAGGCATTGTAGAGGCCGTTGCCGTTGCTCATGAAGGCCGCGGCGGCGACAGCATTGGTTGCCTGACTGGTCTCCTGCAGATGCCGGCGGTATTCTGGATCGATGGGTTCCTCTTTGATGGTGCTGGAGTCAGAGCCCACGGAGCTGTTCTCGTCGCTTGAATTGTTGTAGGTGGCGTTCGAGTGGACAGCTTGGGGCATGTACGCGAGGGTGCCGCGTCCATAGCCATTCTGCTGACTCCGCGCTGCCAGCGTCTGCTGCTGCAGTACCTTGGCGGCCACTTGGCTGACCATGCCGTTGGGAGGCAGAGTGGCGGACAGTCCTCCTGGACTAGTCACCATGTCGCTGAAGATGCCGAGGGTTTCGGGATCCCGGAACTGATCGTCGATGAGGTGCTGTAGGTCCAGTGTGATCTCTTGAGTGGTTAGCTCATCGAGATCTGTCTGGGTGCTGTACTGCTGCAGCATCTGCTGCTGCTTCTGCAGCAGGTTGTTAGCATTCAACGCCGACACGTTGTTGTTGTTGTTGAGGGCGGCGGCCGCATGCTGCATCTGATGCATCGCGTGCTGCTTGACGAGCAGCGCCGTGTCCTGCGCATTGTTGTTGGCATCCGTTCCGGGCTGCTGCTGCTGCTGCTGTTGGTGCTGCTGCTGCTGCTGCGCACTGGACATCGCCGTCAGGGTGATCTGACCAATGGTCGCCTGCTGGGGCGTCGGCTGCTTCTTCAGATCAAGCTGCGCCAGCGTCTGCACGGCGTCGTACATCTGGGGCGATTCCATGTTGAGCATTTTTAATTGTGCGAATGAGGGTAAAATTTTGATGCTTTTGTGAATTTTTTTGGGAGGTAACGAACTGGGGTGCTCTTTTGTGGCTCGTTTTTCTTGGATAGGGTCACTCTAGAGCATTGCACTTGCACACTTATGATTGAGGTAACTGGTCTTTTCTTTGGTTTATAACGCAGGTCCTTTTCACGAAATTCTCATTAATTTCCGATTTGATTTTTTACACTTCATGCACTTGGTCAGTTGTTTGTTAACTTTGTGTTCATTTCAAAATTATGCACTCTTTTTTAAAATCTCTGCAGTTGCGTTTAAATTTCTTAAACTGCAACTGCGCATTGTTGTTGTTGTTTTAGCTTGTTATCGTGCTGCTTCTGCCCGCGACTCTGACGCGACTTTGCTCAACGCGCGCGATTTGAACGACTGAAGTGTTTCACCAATGATGCAACAGATTTTATATATTTCTTTCATTTACAAGACGGCGACGACGCCGCTGCCTCAGCCGCTGCCGCTGCGCTGCCTCTGCTTGTGCTTGTGCTGCAGATATGACAACGATGACTACCACGCGACGGATTAGAAGCGAGCTCCTGAAGAACCGTTATACGCTGCCGACGACGATTGCGAAGAGAGACGAGAGGCAAGAGAGCTTTTTCTTATTTCTAGCTATTTACTTTTTCTTGCGCGCTGCACGTCCGTTCCTTACAATTGGTTAATTGTAACTGTGACAAAATGCGAACGGGCCAAAGTGAAAAAGTCTTTGGCGCAGCGCAAAGAAAATGAGTCGCAGTTCACACCAGCGTTGAAGCCGACGTCGACGCCGCCGTCGCCAAAAAGTGAGCCACGCGCGCATAAGAGACGCAGAGCGAGCGCATGTAACCGACAACCGCACACACAGACACACGCACACTCACAGGCAGGCATACTCATGTGGAGCGGTAATAGCCGCACCATAAAAGCCCAAAATTGTTGTTGCTGTTGTTGTCGTCGCCGTCTTGTTGGCTGTGTTTGTTTAGTTTTGCCGACTACGCTGGCAGCGCTGCTTTTACATCAACTACCTGTGGATGGTGGAATGGCCCAAAGAGAGCAACAGCGAGAGAGTGCGCGCAGAGAGAACTTACAATTTAATGCGTTCGGCAGCCGCTTGAAAGCAAAAGTTTTTCCCAATCACTTTTACTCTCAACGAAGGAACGCCAAAATCAACAGCAAAGCAAAACACGAGCAACAACAATCGCAGCACAAACAACAATGGGAGTAACAACAGCAATAACAAGCGAACAACGACAATGCAAGGCACTTAGCATGCAAGTTTCTTGTTTGCCGTTCGTAAAGCCAAATGGCTATGTCGAAAAATCGACAGATTTGTTCGTTACCATTCGTACTGCCAACAGAAAATATATACAAAGGCGCATATGTACATATGTTCCTACATACTTGCATGTATACATACATATACAAGTATGTACATGTATGCGAATGCGATATCTAAGAAATCTTTCGGCTTCCATTAACTTGCCAAACTTAGTTTAAAATAAGTTGGATTTTAGGTAGAAAGGCTTTAAAAATGAAATATTAATTTCATAGAATTATTTTAATAAATATGGATGTCATTCAATAAAATACAGAATTCCACGTGATTTTAAATAGATCGAATTGGACAAGATGGACTGGACTAGAAAGCATCATGTCTTATTGGTAGTGTAGTCCTTCCCATGAACTTTGAACGCATACCTGCTTTATGAACATGATCTGGAGACCTGAAGTATTTGTGACAACTGGGGCGTTCTATAATCAATAGTATCAGATTAGAGATACTAGAAGACTCCTTAAGGACTCAACTTCCTGCAGTTCATGTAGCGGGCGGTACTTTTTGCGAGTCATGCCTATACACAAGACCAGAAAACACAAGAGCGCTTAAGTAAGAATAAGAACGAGGTGGCTTGCCCCAGGATCGACAGTAAAGTTTGAGAATGGCATACAATCCAATCCCCACTTGTCCACAGGAAATACAATTAAAATTTAAACTTCATGCCAATAAGTCAATTGAATTGTTTAATAAAGCCACAGCACTTTGCCTTCCCACAATCGACAACAGCTAATAACAACGCTTATGACGTCACGATGCTCATGCATTTGTCTGTGCCGGGGCGACATGCAAACAACCAACAACGGCAACACACGCACCCAAACATATACGTAGTACAAAGAGCGCCAATGAATAAATTTTGTTCAACAATAATGACGACGATGTCGCTGCTTTAATTTCGTCTTCAACGTCGACGTCGACGCCGGCTTCGGTGCGTCGCTTTCATTTTCGTTGGGAGCCGCAAAGCACGGAGCGCGCCCAGCAACTGCAGCTGAGAACCGCGCCCGCATAATACCGAAACGCACACGCATGAGATGCCGCACTTCGTCCTCCCCCACCACCCCCTCTCATGCTCAGGAAGTGCTTTTGGTTTATGTGTTGGGCTGCTTCTAAAGCTTGCGCTGCATTTTAAGTTTTGGTTTTGCTTTGCTTTTGGCGCGCATGCGTGACTTGATGGCCCAAAGCTTTCACGTAATATGTGTAGTTGTTGTTGTTGTTGTGATGGCAGTTATTGTTTTTGTAGCACTTGGTTTCTGTTGCCTGCTACTGCGTCTTATTAAAATTAAAATGTTATGAAATTCATAAAAATTAGCACGGTCCGTAGTTTTGTTTATTTAAATGCGTCGATTTGTTAAAGTGAAAACGCGGCATCACACTCTCCCTTTCTCTCCATCTCTCTATCTCTCTCTCTCTCTCTCTCTCTCTCTCTCTCTCTCTCTCTCTCGAACTCGCTCTCTTCCCCACTGCTTGGTGCAAGTATTTGGGTCAAGCGGCAGCCATTAGGTGCGCTCGCCTTTATTTTCAAAGGTGCGCATTATTTGCATTGCTCATACGCCTCGTTTGTTCCTTGTGCAGCGCATTTGCACGATAACGGTTTATTGTCGCCTGTCGCTGCTGTCTCTTATCAGTCAAATCGTTGCACAAATCAGAAATCACAAATCGATGACTGCACAGGCCGATTGTGCAAAATGACCTGCGCGACTGCTTCCTCGTACAAATGTTACACCTTTTGTTGTAATAACTCAACAAGTACCTACTGTGTGGCAACTGCAAAATGTGGCAATAGCCGATCGACATTGATCGCTCGCTTATCAGCAGCAGCATTGCAATAATATTCAGATGAGGCAAGACGCCATAAAAGATAAAGCTCTATTTTTTTTAATTTCTAACTGCATATTTCTCATGTGAAGGGAAAATGAATTCGAATAGTTCAGGAACGACTATTTGCTGTGGAAAGGAAGTATTATTAACTTTATTCATTTACGTCATATATTCTATTATTTGTACTATAAAGTAATGGAGCTCCATTTATAAATTGAATTCAATTTCCATTTTATTCATTATTCATTCAGTTGAATAACGAAAAATACCCTTAATTGATTCAATAATAAAATATTAGAAATGTAATTATAACTTGTAATTATAAAATCATTACGAGCAAATAAATCGAATGCTGAAATACTGTAATAAAAGACACTTAGCTTGCTTTTAAAATTGCTCGTAAAACGTTCAAAATTAGACCAGAAAATAATCCAGTTGGTTGCCTTCCAGAGCTTTTGCATAAAGACTTAAGATTTAGTTATTACAGTGACAGTGAGATGGTCTTCATAAGAGTTTTAACAAATAGATATTGAGATTGATGTCAAATTGAAGACCAATATAAGCTCTTCTATGAGTACATACTAGCATTGTACCATTGATACAATTGAAAAATATTTCTGAAGCACAAACCTAATGTATTCAAATAAAACAAAAAATACGTGCATTTAACTACCCAAAAATTACAACCTTTCATTTGATATAAATCTAATTCCTAATTAATTTCTGCACAACATTTAAAAATGGTTAATAGAAAATGTAACATTGTTCTCCTGCCACTTAATATTTTTAAAGGTAATTTCAGCTCCTTTTTGAACATACGTGTATTTTAATTGGAAAAGGCCACCGAGCTGCAAACAGCTTCACACCTACGAGTCAAAATTTGTGTGCGTACAAAATACAATTTACAAGAACAAAAAGAAAATAAATAAAAGAACAAGCCTCAACACACGCAGTCATCGTATAAATAGCAAATACAGAAAAGGTAGCAACAACAACAGGGGCGACGATTCCCAAGCAATTGTTGTTAACAATTTTGGCAAACGACTGATAAGAAAAAGTGCGCGCGCGCGGCAAAACAACACAAAAGCGTTGGACTAAGATACATGTGTCTGTCTGTCTGTCGCGTTCGTTGCACTCTCCCGCATACAGAGTTGGCTGACACATATGAAAATCCGATAAACCAAAATTGCATATATGTATGTATGTATATACATGCATACATTTGTATGTATTTGTATATCACCGCATGGAGCAAATGGCAACGTAATTATTTTATAGCTGAGCTGTCGATTGCTATCATTTTGACCAAATGGGGCTCGCACACTAGCAAGTTTCTGGGTTAGTCATCGCCACCAGCACTTCCTTAAATCCGAACTCGCCACATTGAACCCGAAACTCGTGCGCCGTACTCTTTTATCGGTCAAATTTCTTGGGTTGCCGTTAGTGTTACCGCTGCCGATGCATCGGCACTGCCACTGCCGTTGTCTGCCAAAATTCACACGGCGCTTGCTTCGATTTTCAATTGAAAACAACAAAGCGTTCGGGTTCATTCGGCCAGTTTCTATGCAAATTTCAATTCGATTTCGATGTAAGCAAAGGCATCAAATGAAGCGACAGAACTTTCTTGGGTATTTAAATGCATTATAACTCGTAGCGTAGAATCAGCAGTAAAAAGTCACCGTCATCACCAAACAAGCTCACTTTGTCTGTCCGTCCCTCTGTCTGTGAGTAGGGCCGGTGCAGCGCTCTTCACTTTCTTGGGAAAAAGCAGTCAAAAAAGAACAGAGCGTCCAGAAAAGAGTTCGACGAACTTGCGACTAAATGGTGTTAAGTACACTGCAATTAAGTGGAATTCATATATAATTGGGTGGTGGGGACTAGCAGAAAATGTAAAATACGAATCAATGTCGAGTTGTCGGCAACAACCACCCTGAGTTTCGTGTACTTAATATTATTTAGCTACTAATTTGAATTATATTTTTGGTTTCATCTCCACCAACTTACCACAATACTTTACTTTACTTTATCAATAATTACCTTTTATTCCGTATATCATTACATTATTTGTTATATACTATATTCATAGATAAAATGAAATAAGTAATAAAA